CGCGGGCACCCTGGTCCTTAATGTGGAACCTCGAGAGGGCCAGCATCACTACATGCATCAGAGGTGTCTTGCCCATGCCGCCGAGGCCCAGGAATATTTTCGACTTGCGCTTCAGCGACGGAATCAGCGGCTCTAGGGTCTTCTGCGCCCATGGCTCCACGTCGCCCCGCGCGATCGGCAAGTGCGTGCACTTGCTCGCCGTCACCGACTTGCTCCGCAACTGCGCGAGACACTCTCGGATGTCTTTCTTGTCCAAGCACTTGATCTTGCTGTCTGGGTCCGCGAGCTCCTGCAGCATCCACTTCGTCTGTTTCAGGTCGGCGTCGTTGTGCGGCGCGTGCGCGCGGATGTAATCGATCGCCTTTCCTATTTCGGATTGGCTGACCACCCTGTCGGCCAAGTTTTGGTCGAACGACCACCAGCGATACTGCAGGCCACCGAGCTTGTCCAACATGAAGTTGAACGCGACTGGGCCGACTCTCACCTGATTGCCCCAGTTTATCTTCATCAATGCGCCCTGGCACACCGCGCCGTACACATCGTAGTCCTGCCGGTCGTCGAATTTATAGTGCTTAATGATGGTGTACGAGTTCTCGGCGGCGGCCTCCTTGATCATGACGATCGGCAACTTGAACGGACACACGACGACGGCCGCCGGCTTCATCTTACCAGGCAGGTTCATGTACATTTGCTGCGACATGAAGCCTGCGACCTCGTCTGGGTCGAGGGCGTCGGTGTACTTTTGGATAACATCAATGGCGTGCGTCATTTTTCCTGAAAGCTGGTCCAGAGATGTGAGCGGCAAGTCCATCATGCCCGTGACGCCGTTCTCCTGCTTTCCAGAGAAAGCGCACTTCGGCAGCTGTTTAATCTTCAGCCCCTTCACGATGCTGCACGCCATAGCGAACGTGTAACGCGGCTCGCCCGCTTCCGCCTGCACCTCGATTTCCTCAGCCAAAGAATTGGGAGCACCCACGACGGAGGCCATGGGGGGCGAAAGCTGCAGCGTCAACTCTCGACGGTGGCGACGTGTGCGTGATCACTACGATATTTGAGCCAGAACAGCGGCGATGGTATGATGAAGTGATGTGATGAATGATGATCGGGGCGGGTTGGCCCACCGAAGGCTCTGCCGGGCCCCGGGGGAGCCCTTCTTGAGTTTTTCGGGGGGGCCGTTTCGGTGATTTTCTCGTGCAAAAAACAAGGGGCAACCGAACCGAGTTAAAACAAACTCGGCTGAGTTATGCATTGGAAAAACTGCAACCGAAGAAAACCAACAAATCACATCTAAATGGTCCAAGGGGGCCCCCATACTGCCCAAGAATCCTCCAGGACGGCCCCAAGACGGCCCGACAACCAAACAGATGCATTTAAAGAGCCCAAAAGCGCCCCAAGATCGCCCAAGAATCTTCCAGGACGGCCCCAAGACGGCCCGAAAACCCCGAAATTGTATCTAAAGGGCCCGAGAGGGGCCCCAAGATTGCCCAAGAATCCTCCAGGACGGCCCCAAGACGGCCCGAAACGCCTCCATGACGGTCCCAACACAGCCTGCGAGACCCCCAAGAGACTCAGTAATGCCCCCAGGACAGCCCGAGGAGCCCCCGAGAGGACCCGGTACAACCGACATCGCGCACCCCAGGGACCCAACGACGCCTCTGAGAGACCCCCCACCGCACGCCTTGAGTAGCCCACCGAGTGGTTTCAAGGAACCCAGGAGAGGCGCTCACGAGGCCTTCCGCGTTGCATCTTTGGGAGGGAGGAGGAGAGAGGAAGGAAGGAGGGAAGGGGAGAGGGAGGAGGTTGACGAAGGAGGAAGGAGGGGGAGAGGCAGGAGGAGAAGAGAGGGAGGAGGTTCACGAGCGCAGGACGAGCGGGGGGCGAGGGAGGAAGAGAGAGGGAGGTTGACGAAGACGACGACGACGAAGACGACGACAGGGGGCACACGTCACGGCCCCCAGCGCCCTCCCCGAAGCATAACTGCCACGGGTGCTGGGCTGGCACGACGGCGGGATTTGCCGCGGGGCGCTGCGTATCTGTGTGCGAGCAGGAAGACTGCGCTCGTCAGAGGAAGCACGAACAGCGGTAGGACGAGGATGTTGAGAATGGAGGATGAAGCAAATGCGGTTGCCACGCTGTATAGAGGCATACCCAGGAGGGAGGGGCGGCGGGGAAAATTAGGGAGACGGGGGAGGAGGCGCGAGGACTGGGGAGGACGAGGGGGGCAGAAGCAACAACAAGAAGAAGAGGAGGGGGAGCGGCGGGGCCTGCAGGGAGGGGAAGGGGGCGCGCTCGTGGAGCAAAAGGAAAGTGTTTTTTTTTTGGTTGCGCAGCCGCTGCGTGGATCACCTGCGGGCGGGCTTCTTCTTGAGCATGTGTTTCTTCACCTTGCCCTGCGGCGAGGGTGCCTCTTTGGAAGCCCGAAATGGGTACGGAAATAATGGGTACAATGCCCAACAGCAAATGTTGTCCCAAACCAACAGTGGCCACTGTTGGGCAGGCGGCCTTCTGTCTCGAACGGACACAGGCCGCGGCGGCGCGGACAGCGAGTCCTGTTCAAAATGAACAGGAACTGCTGTTCAGCATTGTACCCATTATTTCCGTACCCCTTTCGGGCGCCCAGAGCCTCGTCCCGATTCTTGCCGCCCCACCAGCCGGTCAAGTATGTTTGATAAATCTCCATCCCCTTACACGCATTACGCGATCCATCCGTAACGAAGAAGTGTGGAAACATTTTCTTGGTGTCGTCTTCGAATGTGATGGTCTTCGGCACCTGCTTGTACACGCGGTCGCACAAATGCTTCATGCTGTTCGGGCCGCGCGGCCCGCGCTGGCCGACGGCGCTCGCGATGCGCAGGAAGGCAGCAGAGTTCTTCCCGCCCTTGATGTACCCTGCCAGGGTCTCCTTGTCCATCCTGCAGGTGAACACTGGGAAGGCGCAGCCGGCGTCCCACAGCTGCAGGAACTCCAGCGTATGGCTGAAGATCAGCGTGTCGCCGAATAATTTCATGTTCTCCAGGACAGAAACGAATTTGGCAGGCGCGTCCGCGAGGACGAGGTCGTACAGCGTCTGCGGAGTTTTCCATAGGGGCTGGAGCAGCGCGTCCAATGTATAGCCAGCGCCCCACGTCTTCTGTTCAGTGGTATGCTGGTTTCTCTTCCGCTTGGGGTTGGCCTTGATGCCGTACATCGGCGTCTCGTGAAAACAGGTTTTCTCGTAGAAGGCCGCCCACACCTTGAAAGCATCGAGCAGGACCGACCCGTTTTCGGATAAGTACGACAGCGCCTTCTCGCTGCGCACACAGAGAAAGTACCGGGCAGTGAGGACAATCATGGCCCTCGCGTGGGTGTCGCGCCGCACGCCGCCCCATCTCCGCCACCACTGAGCGCCCATGTTATGGAAAACATCGTCGCCGCCATCTTTGTACACTGGATGGAGGTTCGGGCCAAGCACTACGTCCTTGACGCAAAGACCCGAGAGAGGATTCACCAGAGTGACAAGGGCGTGCCAAAGCTCCAACGTCATCTCGCCGCCCTCGAAAGCAACGGGCGTTTTCCAGCCATCCTTGGACAACGGAAAACACATCCATGGAGACACGCGCATACATCAATGAACATGCACGCCCTCCCACATGTCATCTGCATGTGTGAAGACACAACGAGATGTGGGCGCGCGCCATGCATGTGTTTTCCGTTGCCCGTGCTCCTTGAATGAGCACTGCCTTGCCACCACATAGACGGCGAGGAACATCACCGTCTGCATCAAAGGCGAAACGTCCGGTACAAGGTGGTGCCATAGGAGCCGCATAGATTTGTAAACCGTGAAAGCGTGACTGCTTTGCACCACCTTGTTCAAAGTCAGTGTGCTCAGGAAGTGCAAGTCCCGCTGCTGCTCGCTACCGTCTGCGTCTGCCTTCAGGATTCCATCGCGCACCTTGTCCACAGAACTTTCCCGTGCTGGGCCAGGGCGGATCTTGGGACGAAAACCCATCGCTTGAGCCAGTCAGAACAAATCTTGAGCCAAAACGGCTACGGAAGCGAGGGAGGGAGGGGAGAGGAAAAGGAGAGGGAGAGCGAAACGCTTGCTTTTGAACAACGGTGTTGCGAATCCATTTGTTGCTCAATGGCTCCGCTGCTTGGGCCGCCTCGGGGGTCCGTCCTTCAAGAGCGCTCCCTTCTTTCCGATACCTCCGGAGCTCGCACGTCCAGTTGTGAAAGGGAATGTTTGCACGGACATGTGAGGAGGGAGCATGGGACGGAAGGGTGCATTACAGCATCGTTCGTGCATTTTGGGCTTACTCTGAACTTCCTCTTCCTCGTCCTCCTCCTCCTCCTCCTGATCCTCCATGGTGCATTGCAGCATCGTTGAAGCATCATGGCGTCACTCTGGATATCCTCCTCCTCCTGCTCCTCATACGGAAGGGTGCATTACAGCATTATTGATGCACCCTGGCTTCACCATGCACTTCCTCGTCTTCCTCCCCCCCATCCTCCTCCTCTTCCTCCTCCTCCTCCTCCTCCTCCTCCTCCTCCTCCTCCTCCTCCTCCCTCTAATGCACTAATGCACTAAAGAGTCCCGAGCCCACTCTAGGAGCAGGAAAGGACAAAACATATGGAGTGGGAGAACTAAGGAAGCACCATGGAGAAGAAGGAAGGCCGAGAGGAGGGAGGAAGAGAGGGAAGGAGGAGAATGGTGCTTCCGAAGTCCCCTGGAGGGCAGCCCGCGGCTCCCTCGCCGTGGGCCTGCCCGAGCGCGGGCTGGCACCTCCCCAGCCACGCTGTCCGTGGGGTGACGTCGCAAACCTCCACTGGCCCTTCCCTGTACCTACCCTTCCCACCCCCTTCGAGCAGATCCCTGGCTGTGGCCAAGAGGTCCGCTTGTGAACTTCTTGGAGGGCCAAGGGCACCCCTCGCCTGCTCTGCTGCTGGCTGCGGGGGAAGGGAGGAGGGGGACAAGAGACGTGCTACGTGAAAAGGGCGTGGTCACTAAGCCGTGCTGCAAGATGGCGGCCCAGATCTACTGGCGAGCCTCCGCGGCTGGCCAGGCTAATGAGCTCGTCCTCGAGCACCTGGTAGCCGTGATGGTCGCAGGCGCTCTCGTCGAAGGGGATGCCCGCCACCTGGAGGACGAGGGCCATGAGGGGAAAGCGCTGGCTGCCTCCTCGCCGGCCTGCCGTCAGGGCCCCGTCCTGGTGGGAATTGCCAGTGAGGGCCGACGCGCACAAGCCCCCTTTCGCGTCAATGTCGAAA